CTCCCGCTTCTCGTGATCGCGCTGCGGGTGTATCTACCCCTGGTGATGGTGATACTGCCGATGTTTGCTGTTCTGGTGACGGTGGTGGTGGTTGTGTTACTGTTACTGTTGTACCTTGTTGCTGCAGCTGGCTGTCGGTAGACAACACGCTGGAAGGGCCGTGTGCCTCCACGCCACTCCGTCCTGCCTCGTTTTTACCTGCTTCCTCACTCGTACCCCGAATGTTCGCTTTTTCTTTTTTATGAGAGGACTCCGGATTTTCTTCGAGTTTTGGAACCTTTTGTGTATCTTTGTTTGTCTCTACAAGGATTCTTTCCGGCGGCTCATTTGTTTCTGGAGATTCCAATTTTAAATCAGAGGGTGCACCGCTTTTATTCTCTGAACCACCAACTTCAGGGGGAATGGAAGATCGAGAAGCACCAACAACAGTAGAAAACTCCGAGGCAGAAACCCCACTTTTGTTAGAATTCCCATTTTCTTCAGAACCGCCACCACCAGAACTGTCGTCATTAGGAACCAGAGACGAAGGGTTACCAACACCAGTTTGACCAACATCAGATTCCGGTGGGTCTTGTGGCGCTTTAGGTGCTTTGAGTGCTTCCGGTAACCCGGTTACTGGCGGTGGTGATGGTGGTACCGAAAGTGAATCTGGATAAATATCGGTTGAATCAGAAACACTTTCGCCAGTCGAAGCTTCAACAGCAGTGATAGGCAACGCCAAATGTAATGACACCGTCGGTGCATTTTTATCACATCCGCTCGACAAAAATGATTTTTTCTTTCCCAAGATTCCCGACGCCATGCAGCCACTCAATAAATTATTGTTGACGTCCCTCGCATAAACCCGGCCGGCACCGCACCACAGCACGCAGAGGGCACACACCAGCAGCACACGGCCAGCCATCATCATCGCCATCACTCCTGTCACTTGCGTGTAGCCTTCAGCACAAACTAACTCCCCGTCAACGCAGAGTAAGCAATGAGAGAAAGACAAGTCACTCAACCACGCACCGTCCCATCCAGCAATGAGAGTCACGCACCACAACAACAACAATTAGGTGGGCGCAGCTCAACAACAATCAAAACAAAAAAAGGAGCGCTCCTCGCCGTGCACCGTTCCTCACACTCTCACAGTCACTATTACTGTTATTCCCTTTCCTCAGGCCCTCACAGGCACGCCACGCTCACTCCAACACGCGCCCCTCCAGTACACGCACTCCTTAATGCGCTCCCGCTGCGCCGCAACGTCCGCCACCTCCTCCCTCAGTCAAACAGCTCCGTGTCCTCCACGTCCCTCACAATCGCCGGCATGCCTCGGCCGCGCAACACACACGAGGACACATGCAATAGCAACGCCATCCACGCCGCACCGCAAGATAGAGCCATGTGCACAGCACACACACCGCCGCAAAGAAAAGGACGGGTCGAATCCAAGTCCGCGCAGCAGTCCCTTACTCCTCTCCGCCCCGACAAATTGAAATTACGCCCCACAACGGTTTGTGGCGGGTGGCATCCCACACTCAAAATTGAAGCACGGCGCACACCATCCGCTCCCCTCCGAGTGCACTCAGCAGGCCGGCGCCCAGTCACCCTCGTGCCCTCGCAATGGGGAGCAAAAAAAATCTTCGTCGCGGGCCATCGGTGCCTCTGGCGGGAAAGAAAGCAGAAGAAATGGGGACATGTCAGCTGCACAATCAGCAGAGACACACCCAACGGAACAAGAAGACACAAAGTAGCAGTCAAAACGGCAGAGACAAAAACATATTCACAGGGAATTACCAAAAACAGAAAAAAAAAAAAAGAAACAAACAAACAAACAAAATGTGGGATCCCTGCAGGACTCAAGGAAAAAAAAAAAGAAAAGAAATTGGTTCGGCAGGACTTTCATGGGCCATGAAGCTAAAGACGATTGGGTGCTTGCACATACTACCTGCACCAACAGAAAAAAAAGGGAAATTAAAATAATAATAAGAAAGATCTCATTATTCCACCACCCCTCACAACATCCCTCACATTTCATGCGGCATCCGGCCTGTTCCTCTTATCCTCCTTTCGTGCAGTCCGTGGGACGCACAGCCGCAGGGCCGGCACCACGTGTGGGCGAGAACAAAAGCAAACAAGAGGAGGAAACACTTCGCTCATTACATTATGCAGCAACCGGACATTACGTAAAGAAAAGAAAAAACAACAGTACTTACTACTAAAGCTGAACTGCATTAAAAAGACATTAAAAACTAAAAACATTGAAAAAATAAAAGATAATTAAAAAAGGGCGGACAACGCGGCATGTATTCTCCGTGAGGCGTCGCTAATCCACACCCTGTGGCTCAGAAGACTGCCACGACCTAAATACAATCCCATTAAAAGCAGCAACACAAAAGACACGCACACACGCACGGTGTTGTTACCGATTAAATCACGCAGTGTCAATTTCACTTCGTTGGGAGAGTGCGAGGCGGCCATCGGAACTCACGCCGCTCCACACCCTGCGAGGTGACTGTTTGTAGTGGGGATTCGTTTCCAGGGCGTTGTGCCCATTCATCTCTCTTCTGTAATACCCCAGCAACGTGCTCTCTGAGGCTGTCAACTACTCGAATCTTCTCGGGTGGTGTCGGAGCTGCTTCTCTCGTCGGAACGGGGGCCCTGTCCTTGAGTGCACGCATCGCAGTGGAGTTCAGTGGGCGGCTGTACAAAAAGACGTCCGTCAGCGTCACATGAGATTCGTGCCCAACCCACGCGCCAAAGCGAACCCTCAGGACCTCAGGTGGCCTCTCGCCCGTTAACGGCACCTCTTCCCCCCCCCCAGCGACCGACCATCAATGTGCACAGAGGCCTTGTTGCCCTGCAGCATGAGTGCCACTTGGTGTTCTTTCTTCGGCTCCCAAGTGCTGCTCCGTGTTGTTGTCTTGCCTTCGAACGTCATTTCCCACTTCTTATTGTGGCTGCACGACAGTCCCATAGTATGATTGGACGCAGTGTCCGCCAGCACCGCAGTCAGTAGAGGAGTTTTCCCACTCGGAGTCTCTTCGATGGTCACCGAAGCCACAAGTGTGGAGTTGTGGCTCAAAAATACATGACGCACTTCATCACCCCGAGTGTTCACGGGCCATATTGCCCTGGACCCAAGTCCCGTCAATTGAAACCCATCGTTGTCCTTCACTGCATTCGTCACCGTTGCATTCAAGCAAAGGTACTTCGTCGTTCCACGTGTCATCACTGGCCGCATCGGACAAAACTGCCACAAGACCCGCCGTGGGTGTAGACAAGCTGGAGAAGAAAGTGTCCTTTTGCACCCAATTACCGAGGACGGACTCGATTGCGCTCAGTTCCTCCGTCAGGCGGGAAAGTGAGATGACACGGCATTCACCGTTGCCCCTCTCCGTTGTAAAAGACGCAAACTGCCATCCGAGTGCAGCAGGGTGCTGGCGAGCATCCAATCCGCAGCATTGTCCACGGCAACCGGTCCAAAATAAAACGAGCGGTTGTTGTCCGTGACCCAAAGGCAGAGCGCAGTGGCCCTTTTCTTCCCAGAGGTGTGCCCTCCCTGTGCGCACAGCATGACCTTTCCTTCCTCAATGGTCGCGGTGATGAGGGCATCCACACGCAGGCTTTCCTTCTGAGAGACTCCTGATCGTGCGTTGACCCACACGCGCGAGAGTGTCCCGATGGCCTCCGTCCACTTTGCCCCCATGTCACGCGACGCCTACACCCTCTGGCCATTCTCGCAGTCACCATCATGAGAAGTGATCCCTCCCACCCGGTGACGCGGGGTTAAGGCATTCCGCAGGAGAAATGTATTCACGGAGCGACCAGGCACTGCCGCTGTCCGTCGAGCAAATGATCATGGAGCAAACGTCTTCCGCTTCATTCACCGCCATCAGAAGAAACACAGGCGTGCCATCCTCCATCACAACACCTGCGCCACCAGAAGCAATGAAATCCGTCCATTAACCTTGTGAGAAGCAGAAGAGATCAGTTTCGGGAGTGGTTTGGGGTCGCCCCATTCGATCCGTCCACTCTGCCTGCCACCCGTGGGATTCGTGACATCACCCACAAACAGTTTCAGCTCCAAGCCGCCCTCTCTCCAACACCCACCTTCATAGGACACATCAGAGCCTCCCGCAGGAGAAAACACTCTGTGGCCCTTCGTGATTGTTTTGGGGCGGAGCACAACACCCAAACTCTCCTCTCCCTCCGCTGCACCAAGCACAGTGTGTGCCCTCCATGCATCCTTTCATTGACCCCACCAACAACAGTGGACCAATTCCACGCAGAGTCGATGCACCCCGCAACCACATCAGAAGAAAAGGGCTCACTTAATTGACCACCTTGATATCCGGCATCCATGTGACCCTCAGCGAAAGCAGCAATTACTCCACCAGCACTGAAGAGAGAGGGTGAAGCAAACGAATCCCTCGTCGTAACTGGAACAATCCCATCCTTCGGCTGCACCAGCGTCGTCTGCGGTAAAAACAGAACAACTCCACGCGGCAACTCAACGCTTATTGAACCACTCATCGCATCATCAATGGGATCCCCCTGCGGCTCGGTGACAGGCGTGGGCCTTCTTTCGGGTGGTATCGGAGCCACTTTTGTGTTCCGAACAAAGGCAAACTCAGGCCTCGTCTCGGACGTGTTGGTCGCCGTGTTGGATGCGGGACTCGGATCGACGGTGTTGGGTCCGTCAGCCGCGGCAGAATGTCGCCAATCCTCGTTTTGGTGTGACGGCTCAGCATTAACTTGCGGCGCAGTTGTCCCACCAGATTTTGTGTCATCCTTCCCTTCACGGGGTGGCGGCAACTGACAGATGCCCGTCCGGTCAGCATCGCCGCTCCGTGCAGGCGGATGGATGGTATCCATCGGGAGGAAATTGACGCCGCCACAATCATAAGGGCCGGCG